GTATGTGTAATTCGAGCGAGGTCGAATGTAGACTTAGAAAATAATTCAAGTGAGACTGAATGTATATTTCCTTTGCGTTGGCGTGGTTGGATAAATTTGGCGTTGTGTAAGAATGTCATAATGCTTTGTTTATTCATTAGAGAATATTACATGTTTCCGTTCGATCTGTACGTACATTCGAGGAGTTCAAGTCTGTCTAGTCCCTTCATCGCTTGGCCTAGAGAAGTAGTCAATAGGCGGGGCGATGAATGTCTTGCTCAAGCTTCGGGACGTCTTAATGTATGGACGAGATCAAATTTTAGCTAGTTGTAGCGTCGCATAGTTGCTTTGGCGAACGCGTGGGTGATTTTCACGCACTTTGTGTTCTATCTGCATACTGGAGAGATTCATATATTTTCCAGGCTGGTGACCCAATCCTAGTCTATACAGGTTTTTCCCTTTATCGCGTTAAGCACCAACTTGTTGGGGGGGGGGGGAGGTTACTCAACCGTTGCCTGCAGGATGGTATGGTACGGAACATTTTCTTGGTGCGTTGTTTTGATGGCGTTTGTTCCTTATTCGAGCATCTGGGAGAATGTTCATGTTCCTATCCCCATCCAAAAGAAAAATAACAACTTAAACCTAAACGAAATCATTTGTTACCTTGACCTGATTGGTTGGCGAGGGGAGGGGGCTGTAGAACGACTCGTTTTGCCCCGTACTCGAATGCTGACTTCAGATTTGATCTCAGCCTCGTGCTTAGCTTCGCCGTTAATCGAGTCCGGGCATCTTATGGGCTGACAACTTACTTTGCCCGTTGGGATCTCGAGTTCGAGTCCCGGTCCGATCCAGTCCTAGGTGCACAAAAATAAGGGAAACATAAGTTATACTCCGTACATACGGGCAAGACAAACTTGTTATTTCAAAGAATTACACAATAGGTTATCGTCCCTTCCTAAGAGAGAGGGGACGGTGTGCATAAAGTACAGATTGGTATCTGACGTAAATATAGCCAATAGGATTGTGGACGTGCTCAGTGCATAGTGTCCATAATCCTACTTTAACAACTCATACTCACGACGTACCAAATCGATCACTACAGCAAGACGTGGTTTTTGTATAGATATCAAACATAATTTCGATTTTATGCAAAGATCTGACCTTGGTCGGTTTGATTATTTCAAAAGCTTGCCTACAAATTTCTCAAGTTGGTGTTTGTAACGAGAGGGCGAGGCTACGACAGCCGGGAAGTTGAACCCTGACTGACTTTTAGATCTAGAGGAAACTAAAATTTTGGCTAAAAAATTCCCCACAGACGGCGCCAAATTGTTTGACTAAAAAGCATTAGGCCTTTATGTTAAACTAATTAAATAAAAAGATTTGGGGCAAATCCTAGGAAGAGATAATTTATTCTAGATCTGAGATAGAATATTGGAATGAACAAGCATAACTGAACATAAAATTTGATTACAACAGCGATTGAATCTCACAGTGTAAGAAATAGATAATTGCTCCAATAATATCACATGATAATGAAGAATACATAAAGGAAAAGAATCACCATGCTTGAACAAGACCGTCATCCGTACATTTGATAAAACTGAATTAGAGATGAATACCGAGATTCTAAGCTCTCATCTCCTTTCTTGGTGAGGAGCATGAGGTTAGGGAGCATCCTTCTCTTTTTAGGGATGTGTATCTTTTCGTATGTGTGTGCTTCTTGCCCCCCTTATGTCACACTTTCTCATGATATTTATACCAATTACTTTCCTTATCCAGCGGTGCTTAACGGGAGAACCTAAGTTCTTGGAATATCCCATAGAATCTACCTCTAAAGTATCTAAGTGTTGGACTGGCCGTTCGGACCGAATTGAGTGCTCGACCCCGACCATAGCTAAATCACTCGCCGGCATATCGCTTCATATACGCGACTTCGGCTTGGTTGCTTCTTGGTCGCTCTTCCTTAAGTAGAATTTATTTGATCAGATTTTGACCCATACAATCACGTGCTCGTTCACGCCATGAAGACCATGGCCGGTATCTGTGTGAGTGGGTACTGCTTGAGAGTTTGACATGTTGATTCATGAAATCAAAAACACTTACGAGAACAAGCGTAACACCGGTGTGTGTTGTGAAGGTTAATACTAAGCAATCACTATTATCCTTAGTCCCACGATGGACGCCAAACTGTTTACCCTAAAAATTGAATAACAATTAAACTTATAATGTGGTTTTAAGGATACGTGATTTCACCTAATACCAATTGATAAACGTAAAGAAGTGATGCAAGTGAGCAAACTAGCATTTGGACAGAGCCCTCGAGCTCGGACACGCTCGAGCTAGTTATGCAAGAATAGTTAAAGACACAATAAGCTGATGAACAAGAAAGTAAGCTGAGAAATATTATATTGCTTTGATATTCGTGAATGTAAGGTGTTTACAAATGATGGAGACTCCCCTTTATATACTAGAGAAATCCTAATTATGGTATAATTCTAATTACGAAAGTAAATCCCATGATTGGTACAAATAACCGCTCTTGATTTGATCTGTTCCAGGATTTATGCCGTGATTTCGACCAGCTACGGATATCTCGCCTTTCCGTTATTGCACTTCACTCGAAGTCGGTCATACTTAGTCTCGATTATTGCTGGCCTCGGTCTCGACAAACACCTCGATTCTTGAACTCGACACCTCGTCTTCGTGCTATAGCCCGATCCATTACGAGGCTGACCCTCGACGTGATCTCCTGGTCTCGATTCAATAGTAAAATCGAACGAGCCCGATTTTAACCGTATACACTAATGCCTATTATCTAGTAGTAATAATAAGTACTATTAAAAATAGGGGAGAAGTTTATCTTCACTGACACGTGGTGTAGACAAAGGGCCAATTAGCCCAATCTTCAGCCTAAAGTACACCCTTTGTCTTTTGGGAATTTTTCTTATATATACTATAATAGGAACTTATTTATCTATTTTCTCTCAGTTTTGTAGTTTTTAAAAAGTGTCAAGGTTTTTTTTTACAAATTGTATACATTCCCTATTAAAACACTTCTAACCCATTATTAATGCCTTCAATTAAGGGATTCAATTATATTCTTTTCCTTTTTTCTCTCATCTCCTCTCTCCCGCCTCTTCTACCAGATCTGAAAGCAAATTCTTCTTCAAATATTGTTTTACCAAATTCTTCTTCCAATTTTTCAAAAACCTAATACAAGATTTTTGCTATTGGTAGAAGAATCCACAAGAGAAAACACAAATGAACGAATGCAGTTTGGAAGCAAATATGAAGCCGTAATCACTTTGAAATGGAAACAAATAAATCCACACCAAAGAAATGCTTATTTTTTGTACAGTGATATTTTCTATAAAAGTAAACCTTATACAATTCATATACAATTATCATACATTTATTATACAATTTAAAAATAATTCCGATACAATTCTGATATAAATGTGATATAATTACGAACTTCTTCCTTTTCAAGTTTCAATCTGAAATTCCACCTAAACCAGCAGCAAACTCCATAAAAACCAATACAAAACCACCAATAACCATAATTTTTATTTTCAGATTAAAAATCGAGGAGGAAGAACAATCATATACAAAAAACATACAAACCAATAAAAATTTGATACAATTTTGATACAAATATTGTATTAAACTTGTATTAATATTCTATCAGGTATTATTTCATGTATTGATGCATCAGATACAACTATAATACAATTCTGATATAGTCCTCAAACAATTTTAATGCAATTGTGATACAATTATCATACAATCTTAATTCAATTCTTAACTGAAATTTTACCTAAAATCAACTCTAAACTTAACCAAATTCTCTCAAAATTGAGATATAAATTCTAAAGCATATCCTCAATCGTTTGGAAGAAAACCAATCCAAACAAATCATAAATTCGTAAAATTCGAATATTGATACAATTATTATACAATCGTGATACAATTCTAAAACTTCTTCTTCTTCGAGTTTCGATATGAAAACTTTAACTAAAAATAATTTTGAACTAAACCAATCTCCCTCAAAATTAAAATATAAACTCCAAGATATATTTTCAGTCATTTACAAGAACACTCAATCCAAACAACTCACTAATTCGTAAAACCTGAATATTGAATTCAAAGCTTCGAGACTTTTTATGGCTATCAATGAAGCACCTTTCATGCTGAAAGTTTAGAGATAATATTGATATATTGTATGAAGTGGCAGAGGTTTGGGTTGATTTATATGAAAGAGAAAGGAATATTTTGAAATCTTTTTAAAAATGTGATGAAAACGTGATTGTAGGGGTTTTCTATAATTGATAACATGAGAGTGAGAGGGGGAAAGGGGAGGGGGCAACGTGGGAGGGGGGACTATATCAGTTAAATGCTAAATTTAAGGAATGCTCTTTATTAAGGTTTTGTCTTTAAGTAGTAAATATAGATAGAGAATGTAATATTTAAGGAACCTAAAAAAAAAATGGTAAATAAGTTTCTATTATAGTATAGCTAGGTAAATATCCCTTGTGTTTTCTTCTTCTAACTTTAGGTATACAACAACAAGGACAAATTCAGTGATGATCATTTTAAGTACTATCGGTTAAGCCAACATTATTTGCACTTTTTGAGTTTAATTTATGTAGTATATACCATGTTCAACCCCAGAAAAATAAGATAGGTAAAGGTGTATTTACCACTTTGATAGAGATTGATATCCACTCTTTTGTAATGGGCCACACATTTCTTGTAGCCTTCTAACAATAGAAAATTGATATTATCACTTTTAGTTCCCGCCGGAAACTATTTATATTCGATTGTTGAAAAAGTACATAAAATTTGTATAATTTTAGTATATAAAATAAATATTGTATATATATACAAAAATATACAAAAGTTATACATTTTTCCGGCTATTATTTTGAGAGTGGCTATACAATGTTATTTTATCAACAGAAAACAGTTTGAGCCCATACTCTTTACGCTGAATATGGATCAAAATACACACCCGTATATTTCCGGGTCGAATATTGGTTAGTCCAAAACCTGTTATAGTACACAATCTGAATTCTGAAACGGAGATTACACAAAATCATAGGAAAAAAAGTCAAAAAGTTAACTACAGTTATGGGACTCTCAGCTTCTAAGCGAGTAACTCGTTCACTCCAAAACTCGTCCGAGTTCAACTTGGCATGTGACTCAGTCTACGACGATTGTCTCTCCCTATCACAGCACGCCTTCCCCGGAGTCAAACCCTACCAGCTCTTCTCCGCTTCGGAACGCCTCCACGCTTCTCTCTATCTCTCCGTGCCTCTCATAACCAACTGGGTCAAATCGCCTCCGACCCGATTACAAGTAGATAAGGCATTTAAAGTCGTCTCCACGCGCCGGTCCGGCGAAGAGAAAGAGAGCGAAATTGTGCTTGGGACTACTGAGTTTAAGGAGTTTGCGGTGGAGGTATTTGCAGACGCTGTCGTTTCGTGTGCAGGGAAAGAGCTGTTGAAGCGGTTCCCGGTAGGTGCTATTGGGATTGTTGGTGTGGGTGCGGTGGTGAAGCCCGGGAAAGAATTGGTTGCGGCGGCAATTGGTGCTTACGCGCTTGGTGTTGCCACTTCGGTATACGTCAGCTTGGCTTGATAAAATCTCACTATTTTCATTTTCTTTTTTGCTAGTTGAATCGACAGAATCTATGTTTTCTTTTCACAAAAGTTAATAAAAGTTTTTTTTTCTTGTCTTCGTTTTAAGGAGATGTCAAAAACTACTCTTGCCTTGAGGATACATAAATAAGTTTTGTTAACAAATTTGTTTGGAGCCTGGTTTGATATCGAATTTGAGAGTGGTACAATTCCATCAACAGCTGAAACTCACACCATGTTTGGATGGTTGTTATATATCGTTTTATAATATACCATATTATCGTATTGTATTATATTATATTATATTGTGTCGTTTTAATGTATACTATTTGGATAGATTGCATTATTTGTCATCCTTTCATAATGTCATGCACCAACAATATAAAAATAAACTTGCAATATTAGGAAAAAGAATTAAGGTACGAGGTAGAATTATTATATAAAATGGTAGGCTAAAAGATAAAATAGGATTATTTAATAATAAGAAAGGGCAAGATGAGAGAAAAAAATAAGAAAAACGGCACGGCCACACCAAATAGGTCGTTCCATAAAGTGACACTTTTCGTTGTTACGTAAAGACGGATTTAACGATACGATAAAATGAAATTTAAGTAACAATAAAAACAAAATTGCTATAAATAGAATTTTATTTATGGTGAATGTCTGTATTTAGAGAGATTCTAGGGTTTATTACTTGGTGGCTAAGTCACCCTCTCCCTATAAATAGAGGGTTCTATTCCATTGTAATTCATCCCAAATCAATAAGAATGCTCTCCCTCTACTTTTCTCTGCAATACTCTTCTTCTTCTTTTATTATTTTATTACACGTTGTCAGCACGAGACTCTAACTAATTGGGTAGAAGCTTTGGGATTGAGCATAATGATTGTCAATTGTTCCATGAACTTCATTCATGATTAAATTCTGAATTTAAGGTAAGTATTTTACTATTCTCTTTCAAATTCTTGAAATTCTATAATTTGATTTTATATACAAGCAAAGACAACAAAGTTTGATTATAACTCTAACGGAGTTTGTAAGAAATTATAACCATCTGAAGTGGTAAAATTTCTATGCCTTGCCATGATCAAATTCATGTATGATAGTGGGCAAAGAATTGAAAACCCGTCCCATTGAATTTGCTCCATTCTCATTCCCTTAAGAGAATGTGATAGCAATATGTGATAAGTCTGAAAGAAGACAAAATTATTACCGTGAAGGTATCAATGGATGTGGACGTGGTAATAGACGAAATTATAATCGTCATCACTGTGATAATGAGAATAATAAGGATTCTCAAAATAATCCTTCACTCTGTGAAAGTAATGTTTGTCATCGATTTGACATGAGATTTTATAAAGCACATATAAATGATTATGGTCCATTCATGATGTGAATGTGACAACATCTGATTTATGAATACATATTCATTCTTGGAAGAATATGAATGTGCTAGTGGTAGTGAATATACCACACTCACCTCTAGAAGGAGGTTTGAGATGATATAAGAAAATAATGTCAATTATGGCATGAATGGTCATTGGTCACGTACCTATTGTACGCCAAAATATTTTGGCAATGTGATTATTAAAGGACAATAATAATGCAAGAAACATATCTTGCATATAATTTTGACCATGACCATAATGGTATAACTTTTTATTTAAAAGAGATATTCACCACATGGATGTTGATGAATCTGTGGTAGTACAAAATTAATTGAGAGCTCTGGAAGAGCCAATTATTACTATTTTGGAGGAATATAATTGATTATCATGTCAATTTATTGTGTCGTAGTAAGTCTCAAAGAAACTTTTTGAGTTTCTAAAGTATTCGCGAAAGCGGTTGGTTATATTGAGACTATAAATAAAAGAAAGATTTAATATCTTCTATTACTACAACTTGTAGCGGGGTAATATGTATGTGAAAAGCTACCCGCTTTATTCTCCAGTTTATACTACACAAACAAAAGAATGCCACAATAAAGTAGAATTTTATTGATATAGAAACCCATATCATAATAAACTTGGAGTTTATTGATAATTGCACACGTCATTGTGTAAATTTGAAGTTTATCAATATTGATAATTTATTCAGTTGGCATAAGTGGTTTAGCCATATCAATTTAAGTATGATATGCAAAAATAAAGGAGAATTCACATGGGTAAATATTAAAGAACTAGAAAGTTCTTTACGAATTCTCTAATGTTGCTTGTTCTCATTAATTAATAAGCCAACAAAATTCGAATCCCATGAATTCTGGAAATATCAAAGGTGAATATGGGCCCATTCACCTGCCATGTATACCACATAAGATGCATCTATGAGATGGTTACATGTGAGATTATTATTAACCCGCAACCTGGTGTTTGCGAGGTAACTTGCTCAGTAATTTAATTTCAAGCATAATTTCCATATTTTCCATTCAAGACAGTTTATCTTGATAAGTTGGTTTACATCACAGTTGGTTTAGCAAAATAATTTATTAAGTGCCTCTACTTAATAGCTAAACAATTGCTTGTGAGAACAAAGTTATCTATATCAGTTTGATATACGTTATATACCTAAGTATATTATTTTCTCCCCTTACAAGTGGTTCAGGGTCAGGAACCAAATAATTATATCTTATTATTATTGATGTGCGGTGTATATTTTGATTAACACCATAACGCACAAAGATGGGTTCTCAAAGTTGAGGAAACAAGTTAGTTTTTCTAACATGAGGGAGAGACATGATAAACAGTTGAGAAAAAATTACATGGAATGAATTTCATTTATACATCTAGATCCTCAAATAAAATAATATGAACTTGAAGTTCATAAAAGGATAATTCATTTGCAATATATTGCAAAGCATGCCAGACGCATTTGCTGGCCCAAAGAAAGTAACTATATTCTCATTGCAAATGCTCCTATTAAGTCCTAGAAGGACAAAGTCTATGGTACGCTTAAAGCGTATAGACAAATCGGTTTCAAATAAACTTCTTGATAAAGAAGATGAACAAATGATCTAAATGATCATAACAAAAGGAGGCAAGTGATCTAGAAGATCACATGACATAACACTTCATAAAATCTCATGTTATGTCTTTATGAAAAATAAGGAGATTGGAATCGATATAAAATGTTTGTCGACGACATCTATGATAGCGCTAAGTATAGATGAGGATCTTAAGTCTGTCGAATATAGACACAAAAATATTGGCCAAATGAAAGAGACACAATTCGAATAGAATTTGTTTCATACGAAAGACATATAGTTTTGGACCTGTAGTTCAAACACTTGAAAGTATAAAGTCAATGGTATGTGCAATCAGTTTTCGATATCTTATATGTCATAAAAATTTGATATGCATCTAACATCTACTATATGGCTTATATGACTTAACTTATGTGACAATACATGAAGGATTTAATTTGCTTGAAGCATATACAATTCTTGATCTTGAAGTACCACTTCCTCAATGCAATTTGTGCACAAATGTATCTTGCTATAACTATATGCATGATAATATGATAGCAAGAGTTTTCACCTCGGCGTGAAGATATTGAACTGACGATTCCAACAAGATCATATGAAGACAATCCATCTCTATCAAGAATGATGATTTCAAGGTGCAATATATTCATTCAAGTTAATATGGTTGATTTGTTTATCAAATATCTACCAAAGATCTTTTGAAGATGGTGCACAAGATTGGAATGCAAATGCTTAAGGATGTGAAGTGATGCTCTCATGAGGGGGAGTTAATACGCGTTGTACTCTTTTTCCCTTACAAGGTTTTGTCCCACTGGATTTTCCTTGCAAGTTTTTTAACGAGGCAACCAAAAGGCGTATTATTAGATATGTCTACTATTTTTCCTTCTCTAGAATTTTTTTCCCACTGGGTTTTATTTTAGTTAAGGTTTTAACGAGGCACATTATCTGTTGAATAGATATAGTGTTATAAATAGAATTTTATTTATGGTGAATGTCTATATTTAGAGAGATTCTAGGGTTTATTACTTGGTGGCTAAGTCACCCTCTCCCTATAAATAGAGGGTTCTATTCCATTGTAATTCAACCCAAATCAATAAGAATTCTCTCCCTCTACTTTTCTCTGCAATACTCTTCTTCTTCTTTTATTGTTTTATTACAAAAATTATATTTAAAGTAACAATATGATACAATACAACATGTAACCATCATCAAAACAAACTGTTAATTATAGAGTAGATTTTAGATACAATAATCATTAAAGAACGTAGTTTGTGAAAAATGATACACTTAAAATTAATCAAAGATGAAAAATGATATTTTGTATTACCAAAAAAAAAAAGTAAGGGATATCTTGTTCCAAATACTCTATAAGTACCTAAACATTTTAGAAGATGAAGAAGGTGGAATAAAGATCATGGTCATCCATAATAACGAACAAGAATCATACATCAGTATGATTTAGGGTGTGTCTAGTAGGAAGGAAAATTATTTTATGGAAAATATTTTTTATTTTTTCTATGTTTGGTTGTCTTATGGCTCGTTTGGCCATAAAATAAATTCCTTTTTTTCGATTTTTTTCACTTTTTTTTGAAATCAGCGTTGACCATGTGAATTTCAAATTTTCACTTAAAGTTGAATTTAGAATTTTAAAAACTTCAAAAGGCCATTTTCTAAATTTTCATTTCAAAACTCACAAAAATTTAAAAGCAACTCCAAATTGTATTCATATCCAAACACAATTCTAATTTTCAAGTACCATTTTTAACTTGCAATTCTTTTTTATTTTTTCGGAATTTCACAATCCTTATATCCAAACGCCTACTTAAATATTTTGGAATATATTTTCTTCAGAACTTCCCTTATACTTTCTAAAACTATCTTTTTAACTTTTCCCACCTTATTCCACACCCCACCTATCTCCAACTCTAAACCCCCACCCCCACCCCACCACTACCCCTACCCCACCACCACCACTAACCCAACCTTCGTCGCCGCTACCCTGGCCCCTAGACCCTGACCTACCACCCCTTTTTACCTATGCCGTCTCTCATAATGTTTACATAAATTATTGTATAGGGTAAAATATGATATGATACGTGATCATCTAAAGGAAAAACACGTGGAACCCAAGACGGGGATGGCCGAAGACCGAATGCAGCAATTTCGCTTGTCACCGGAAGGGATAACGTTCATAAAGGTGTACTAAATTCTCTGC